CAGCTTCACTGATGCTAAACCTCATATTCTGGATTGTGATTTATTGTTTCTGTAGGTTTTTAATGCATCATTTGTTTTATCTTCATTGTCTTGATTTCCCCCCATTTCTCTTAGCTTTTATTTGTACAATCCTGCAATTATTCGAGTTTTTCTTTCACCTATTGAGGATATTTCATCATTGTTCTTTTGAATTCTTTGTCAGAAAATTAAGTCAGACTTCCTGGCTTCAGGAAATCCACTGATTCTCTGTTTTGATCACTTTTGGGGGTATCTTTCCTTGGTTTTGTGTAGGGTGTGAGGTAGTCTGCTTCTCCCATGTCATTGCTGTGATAAGAGTTTTCTTGCCTGGAGCCCTAGCAGGTCCTTTGTCTGATGACTTTGTCTAGAAAGCTCACTGCTCCAGAGTATGGAAGGGCAATTCACCGTGCCTGAATTTCTCTCTGGTCCCCGGCATCATGGGAAGAAAGATTTGCTTCAGTTGGAGAGCTCAACATCCTGGTAGAGGAAAGGAGGGCAACGCACCCTGACTCTGATCCTTCCTCTCTGGTTATGCGGCAAAGTTTGCTGGATCAGGGAGTGGATGAAGGTGGGGTAGCAGGAGCACTGATTCTGCTCCTTCTTTTCTGGTTCTGCAGCTAAACTTTCTGAGGTGGAAGGCTTGTTATTTTCTGATTGTAGCCCTCTCTCCTGAAGTTCATTTTCCTCCTTGGTCTGCAATATGATCCACCCAGGTTCGCTGACTCTCTTCACCACTTTCTCTGGAAGTTCCCAAAGAAGGACCATGTCTCTGATCTTCTGTTCCACAATCGGGTTTCTGTAGCTGCTGATTGCTAAAGTTTTTCCACTAAAGGGCACAGCTGGCACAGCCGGATGTTGTCCCAGGTGAGAGCAATGTCTTGGGTGGATCCTGACTGTTGTCATTCCCTTTTTGAACTGAGGGCCTTAGGCCCAAGGCCCTAAAGTAGAGGAGAAAGTAAAAGCAGAAGTTGGTGTCTGCTGGTTCCTAGCCCCAAGGCTGCAAGCATTCAGTGAAGGCTGATACAAGTCCAATGATGAGGCTTGTAATGGATACTGTGGGGCCAGGTTGCAGTCAGGAACTGAAGGTGGTGTTACCTGATTAACACGGCATCTAGGCAAGCTGGTGGCCAAAACTGGCGCAAAAGTAAAAGTAGAACTTCTACATCTTCGGGCTACCAGCCCCAAAGTTACAAGCTTCTGGAGAAGGCTGGCACAAGTCCAAGGGTAGAGCTTGCTGGGCAGGGCAGAGCCGGGGTGGGGTCAGGAATGGAAGGTGGCATCCCCTGATTAAGATGCCATCTGGGTGAGATGGTGTCTGGGCAAGCTGGCAACTGAAGCAGAGTAGAGAGTAAAAGTAAAAGCTCTGTGTCTGCTGGCTGCTGGCCGTATGCAGCAAGCTTCTAGGGAAGCAGTACAGATAAAAAAACCACACAAAACAAACTAAAACACAAAAATATTGAAGCTATAATTACATTTCAAACTATATATCGTAGTGTTATAAAAGAAATCTAGAAAAATAGGAGTTCTATTATCAGACACAAACTCCAGATCCCTAAATTACTTACTCTAGTGTTATGGTCCCATAAAGATAACCTCCTGGAAAACCTAAGGGACACTTTTTCTCTTATCACATAGAGTCACTATGAGTCTAAACCTACTGGGAATCATGGAACAAGCACAAATATCCAATATTGTCCAGACAAATGTGATGAAGCAAATAAGAATGTTCATGATGAGCACTGAAGCCTGCAGTTATAAGAATGAGGACAATCATTTAGTAAAGAGACAAAATACAGCTTTCTGCCAGCCCAAGCTTGAAAAGGTGGTGCTACCAAAGAGTCATATGGATGAAGCCAAGGAAGAATGTATATGCCACCTTGTCAGTGTCAGATGTGACTGTCACTTCCCTGTTCTCCCATGTAGGAACAAGGTAAACCCTGGTGCAAGCCCAAGTTTGAAGGCCACTACAACCTATTTCTTATACTTTGGAATTGCTTAAGAGTTGTGCCTCTGATCCTGATGCCACACTCCTCTTCCAAAAGTCTGGCTTTGTGAATTATTTACACAGCATACAGATTGAATAGGTATGGAGAGAAGATACAACACTGACACATATCGTTCCTGATCGTAAAACCGAGCAGTGTTCCCTGTTCCTGTTTGCACAACAGCTTCTTGGTCTAGGTATAGATTCTGTATGAGCACAATTAAGTGTTCTGTGATTCTCATTCTTCTCAATGTGAGCCATACTTTGTTATGATCCATGTAGTCAAATGCCTTTTCATAATCAACAAAACTCAAATATACGTTCTTCTGGTGGTTTGTGCTTTCAGCGATGAACTATCTGGCATCAGCAGTGATAGCACCAGGAGGTGCTGCAGCCTTTTCTGAAATGTGTTATACTTCCAGCAATTCCCTGTCAATGTACTCTTCTACCTGCTTTTGAATTTTCTTCAATGATATTTTGCTTGCATGAGATAATAATGATATTGCCCAAAAATGATAATGATATTGTGAAAAGGAAGACTCATGAACAACCTGCAGAATGCTGACAACACAACTTTGCTTGCTGAAAGTAAGGAGGATATAAAATGCCTGCTACAGAAGGTCAAAGACTACAGCCTTTAGTATGGATGACATCTCAACATGAAGATGACAAAGATCCTCACCACTGGCCTAACAGTCAACATTACTAGGGATGTCGAAAAGATTGAAACTGTTAATTATTTCATCTTGCTTGGATCAACAATCAACACCTTTAGTATCTGCAGTCAGGAAATCAAAAGACATTCTGCACTGGGCAAGTCTACAATCAAGAACCTTTCCAAAATACTAAAGAGCAATGATGCCAATTTGAAGACTAAGGTGTATCTGATTCAGGCCACAGTCTTCTAAGTTAACTCAGAAAACTGGAAATGAAAAAGGATGACAGAAGAAGAGTTGATGTCTTTGAGTTGTGGTACTGGAGAAGAGTATTGAATACCCCAGGTGCTGCCAAAAGAACAAATAGGTATGTCCTGAAAGGCTGTAGCCAGAGTGCTCCTTGCAGATAAGGATGATGAAGCTACATCTTTCATATTTTGGACATGTAGGATGATGCTATTCCTTGAAAAGGGACATTATGCTTGGAAAGATGGAAGGTCAATCAAGGAGAGGAAGGTCCTCAAGGAGACTGACACTGTGACGTCCATAATGGGCTCTAGAGTCTCAGAGATAATGAGGATGGTACAGGATAGCGCAGGCTTCATGATGGCTGTTCATAGAGTTGCTATGAGTCATACTCAACTCGACATCACCTGCCAACAACAATAAGGGCTGTGCCTAGTCATTGCTAAAGGAATTAGAACTATGGTGGTGAAATACAGTTCCAAGCTTTGTTGGTTAACATCAAATAAATGTGGGCACATTATATGAACTTTCTGAATCTCTTTATTGAAATAAGAGGTAGAAGTCTACTGCCATTGAGTCAATTCTAATTCTATAGGGTTTCCAAGGCTTTAAATTTTAATAAGAAGAGACTATCCATCTTTCTTCTAAGAGCAGGATGATGATTTGAACTGCTGAGTTTTCTCGCAGTCCAGCAGAAAGCACATTATATCCTCAAACTTAAACTCATCACCACAAGCCAATTGTTACTACTAGTGATGCTTCATCAGGTCTCCAAGGATGTAAATCTTAGCAGGAGGATATAGTCCATCTTCCTCCAGTGCTGGGAAACTCAAACCATGGGAGAAATGAAGACCTCTGGTTAGCGGCACAGCACACCAAGGACTCTGCTGCCAGAGGTCCTTCATATACCCTACAGGACTCCTTATATAATAGAGGTCATAATCTTACATTCTAACAGTGCTGTCATGTCAGATGAATAGGATGTTTTTATCTTGGTAAAAGGCACATTACAAAACAAAACTATTCTAATTACTTGTCCCTCTCCCTCTGCCGGCCAAACTCTGCCACGCTGTGATTTTCCCTCTCCCTCCCCTTAGCCCCACTGTCCTCTTCTCCTTCGCCAATTGGACTTTTTTTGTTTTATACAGAATTTTTCCTCATGATGCTCTCTAGACTTTTCCATGTTGTATAAAAATGTTATGAAACCGTTGCTCTTGGGTGCTGCATAATGTGAATTTATCACACTTTCTCAATCTAAAATTTGTTGATGGACATTTGGGCCATTTGATCTTCTTGTTATTGTGACTAATGCTCCTGTATATATCTGTGTACAAATCACCATTTGTGTCTCACTTCTGTTTTCCTCCGAATATATTTCAAAGAGTGGAATAGCTAGATCATATGGCATTTCTATGTTCGTCTTTTTGAAGAAACATAAAACTGACTTTCAGAGTAGTTGCACCATTTTACAATCCCACCAACACTGTGTGAGAGTTCCAATATCTCTACATCCTCTCCAACAATTATTGTTACACTTTCCCACTGCTACTGGTGTGAGACGGTTATCTCATTGTGGTTTTTATTTATATATCTTATTGCCAGTGATTTTGAGCATTTCTTCATGTGTCTGTTGACCATTGAATTTTTTTCTTTGTGAGAAGTCTTTCCATATTTTTTGCACATTTTGTAATTGTATTATCAATCTTTTCTTTGTGGAGATCTTGTAGTATTCTACAAATTTCCACTATAAGAATCTCGTTTGTGCTATCATTAACAGAGTTACACTGGGTATAGGTCAAGGGTGATTAATTTTGTAAGAATATTGTGGTTCCACCGCTCCCCCCCTCCCGGTTCCACCGCTA